TTGAACATCCATCTATTGCTGACTTTTATAATAAATGACGTTTGTATTACTTTAAGTGAGCATTAGACCGTTCTGTATTAGTGTTTTAAATAAATATTGTTGCAAGTATGGCGTTTGCAAATACGATAAGCTGTTATGTTTGCAATAGACACTTTCAACTTCGACTCACTATTCGTTCAAACAAAGACAATAATATAGATGTGCTTAACGTTGCTAATTTAAGAAGACAAGCTGCCGGACATCCTGCAATCGATAATCTACAAGAAGTAAGATTATGTTTAAACTGTTATCACGCAATTACACAGAAATTTAGAAATATTGAAAATGATCCAAATTGCCTAAGACTTAATGTTTTAACACCCCGTTCAGTTCGTGGTTGTATAATTTGTAACGCACAAGTAAATGTAAGAAAACTATCGGCAGTATGCAGAGCAAATATTTTTTTAGTTTCAATAATTTATGTACCTGAAGATTTTTGTGACATTCATCTAAATCAGCCATACTTAACCTGCACCCCGCGGGACTCATGCGGCTTTCCAAGCTGTTGTGTGCGGCCCTCCAAGCTTTTTTGTGCAGCCCCAAACACGAATATTAGTAACTGAAATGGTTGAGCTACAGTCCTGTATTAAAACAACATGAGGACCTTTTTTTTTCGAAAATATTTAAAGCGGATCCCTATCTTCACCCATTGTCCTTTATTTGCATTTCAAAAAGGTGGCAACTTTAGTTATCACGCAAAAATATTGTGGCCCGTAAAATAACAAACAGATTTATGTGACCCGAAAGAAAAAAAGGTTGAGTACAGCTGATCTAAATCTTCAAGTTTACTAATGATTAATTTACATGCTAGTTTGCATTTTGTTTATAGACCATTCTTCCTCGTTAATTTAAGAGCGGCTGCTACCGCTAATAATAATTTAAAAATTGGGAAGACAAAAATTATTTTAGTTTAGAAGAATTTAAATATTTAACTTCAATTTCTAAACAGAATATCCAAGTATTATATGAATTTTTTGAACCAATAAATCAATACGGTAACTCAAGAAACATTGCTCAAAAAGATTTACTTGCTTTCCTTGTTAAACTAAGACATGGATTGTCAGATGAGTTCACAATCTGATATAAATATACATAAAGAGGCAATATAAAGAGCCAATGCTCCAGTCAAAATAAACATTTAATCCAATCGTTATTCATTTCCCAAAATCCTGCTTAGACCTACCGAATAACGAACTCTTTTTGTAATGAAATAATGTATGACTCTGTCTGTAAACTAATAAGATTTTTTCTTCAAAGTTAAAAGGCAATTATTTTCTATTTTTTGCCAACAATTTCAACATTATGATGATTTTTTCACCTTACATATTTAAACGCAATCACCCTGTAACTACGAAATAATTTTGGCTGCCCTTAAATAGTGCAAGGGGTATATTTCTAATCCAACACAGTGTGTCAAATTATCTATTATACAGTATATCTCTGAAACATATCTACTTATGTCAGTATATTTTTTTTGTTTAAAAATTCATATATTTGGTACATTTTAGGTTATATTTGGAAAACTAGTCATAGGATGTAATTTTACCAATAAGAATTTTGAACGAATACATCAAGTACTATACGATATCAAATATTGAGAAACTTTGACGGTGATATTTTTTTTTTTTCGGAATTTCAGCTATTTTTGTTCGGTGGAAATACCTACTTTGACCAAAAAAGATCTGCCGAATCATTAATCACCCTGTAAGGGACAATATTTTAATTATAGTAGTTAAGTATGTATTTTGACTATACAGAATAGGCAAATAACTTCCAAATATATTTAAGGGTGATTTATGGTGTCCATTTTAAAGAATTAGGGATTTCTAACTTCAACACCCTGTATCTCAAAATCTAGTCATAGGATACGATTGGGCCCATGGACACTTTTGACAGGGACATCAAGTAATTTAACATATCAAAAATTCAGACATTTTGACGGTACTCCCGTTTGCATAAGAAAAGTGCGTGGTCCTTTACAGAGCTGTACCTTATCACTTATTTTGCGAAAAAATTGCATGTTTAACCCTCTACACTTACTTTACACTTCTGACTGCTCGCCTCTCGCTATGTTGGTAACAATCGAAACTGTAAATAACAAAATTTTGACTTTACCGAGTCTTTGTGTCGCCAGCTCTCCGTCTAATGTTACATGCACAAAATGTTTTTCCCCGGCTTTTTTTTCAAGGCTTTTTTTCCTGGATTCATATTATGGGAATACTTATTATAATTACCAGAATAAACGTTTAGAACTATTTCCTTGGCATCACTAGAAAGGTAACAACGCTTCTGTTTTCCTGTTTGTCTAAATTTATTTCTGAAGAACACTGTTGAACATTAACTACCTCACTCATTTTCACTACTTATTTTAACTATATAGTACCAAAACCTCGACCAAATCGTATAAACTTTGAAGCTAAACTAAAGTGATTAGGTAAATTCCACACCAATACTACCAAGGCCGGATGCTCCCGTGATCAGTTTTCGTCTGCCATGCACATAACGTCACTCATAGCCTGACTCTCATTAGGGAGAGGGGAGTGCTTATTTTCTCTGTAACGCATTTATCATAACAGCTACAACAAAATGTTTAATACAAAAGATGTTTATTAATATTCGGATCAGAAAAATATTAAAAAATATAAATGACTAATTTCATGTATCTTTACTTTACGCGTTACTTTCGCTGTAAAATTGGTTTCTGGGATTGTTGGTACGAATCTTGCGTGAAAGATTTTTTATATTAAGTTTATCTTTCCTCTTGCTAAGATGCAACCACTTGTTGCTAAGGTTAGGGTCTTTAGAAAAACTAAAAAATCTTACAAACATTCTTACGAAATATTAATATTATCATGTTTGTTCCCTAAACAGAAAAAATTAATTTTTAAAATCAATTTGGGAGCACCGTCCCTGTTCCGGCTAATACACAACCTTCCTTTATGTTTAAAGCGAGACGATTTTCTACTATAAATTGCAACCGACTATAAGACTGTTGTTAGGCAATATAGGACCGTTGCTAGCCATTATAACAAGTTGGTTGAATCTGACAGACAATTATTTTGTCAGTAACATATTAAATTACACTTTTAATAATAAAATTGTGTGTATATACTTAAAAATAGTTTGTCAGTTAACTTGAATGAACTCCAGAACTAGTTAAGTCATTATTTCGGAAAAAAGCAGGAAGTAAATGACATTTGCTGGTACGAAACTGACACATGCTAGCCAGGAAGTTGCTTTCCCAACTAGTTGGCAAAGTGAAGCAAGCAATAAGTTACTTCCCGACTGTTATGGTCCACAGATCATTATAGTTGAATACCGAAATAATAGACAGTATTTTAATGTCTGAAGAATGTTGTCATATGTCATTGCGCCAAAGTTTGGAGAAATTTTGGGAGGTTAATTAGACAATGGGATTTTTTCAGTGGTGGTCATATGTTGGTTGCAATTGCATATATAGCACCTCTGGATTCTTCACAAATTCTTGGCATTAAATTACTGTCTATTATGTCGGTACTCAACTATAACCGATTATATGTAAAAATATATTACTGGATATGTGACTATATAACATTAACGATTATAACAGTGAAACACGTAACCTATTATGTTTAATATTTGTGGTATTTTTTTACCAGTACTATAATGGATATAAGTATTTAAGGATTTAAGTACTGACGACTATGTAACCATTTTTATTTACAGTATTTCTTATTTTGTATTAGGCATAGCCATGCTTTTACAGCGAACATGTGACAACTACGATATCCCCGCTATCGCTATGTTCTCGGTTTAGTCACTGATATTCGGTTCAGCTAATATCCCATCACCATAATATCTTCTAATTCTAGTCGACCGCGATGACTGTTGTCATTTTATTAGCTTGTATACTAGTCGTATGCCTAACACGAAAAAATAAGCACTGTGTATTATGTATTACTAGGAATAATAAACTATTTCTATTTCTAATAATAAAAATAAATAAATCCGACAAAAACAAGAGTTATAGCTACTCTTAATGATGATTGTTACCAGAGCTAGCATGTCAACTGTTGATTTGAAAAAAATCAAGGTTAAGTAATAAAATGAAAATAATTAAAAACCCATAAAAAGTGAAAACATATAAATATATCATATCGTCAAAATAAATAATACAAATAATATAGAACCGAAAAAAAAATTAAAAAAAAAACACCTTGAAAACACCCAAATAATCAGCAAATAATCTTAGCAACTATAGTTTATTTTACTCCTTTAAGAATTGACATTGACATTTTTCGGCTCCACCTATCGAATTCTCCTTTCCGATGTGACAAGAAAGAATAGTCAGAACGAGAAACTAAAATCAAGAGAGAGCGCTACATTCCAATTTAAAGGGCTTTAAAAGGATGTCGTAGACGACGCGCAATGGCTGATTATTTAAGTAATATATTGTCCTCAGGTGATTCTAATACAGTTACGCTTTACATGACAATTAGTATCAATTGATTGAGCCTCTGTAATTTTATTTGTTTAGTGCTAGACGTATTTTTATTAATAAAAATTAAAAATTTTATAACGACGTAGAATGTGATAGTTATAAAAATTTTGTACTTCCATGGTACTATCGATCTATCCACATTCCAGACCGGATCGGGCAGGTAGCAAAGCTTAAAACTGTTTAGTAAACCTGGCTAAGCCTTACCAATGGGCTGAGAATTCTCAATCTTCCAGAGAATTTGGAAGAGAGTTGAAATTCCTAACACTGAACTAAAATTGGCGAATACGGCCGAGGTTGAGAGTTGACTGGTGAATTTTTCCCATTGTAAGAAAAAACTGTCCTTCTCGGACTTGTTAACAATTCTGCATTAGATCGTTGAAAACTGTTTGACTGGAAGACGCCAGATAATAGACCAATAAATAAAAAAGGAAGAGAGAATTTCAAAAAAAAAACTTATTACTTTTCAAACATTTTGACTTACCTATTTTTAAGTACTTCATAGCCTGGATCCGAACTGGGTATACTTTCAGGTCCGTTAATACTGGCATAACCGGGTTCGTCATTGCCCCTAATCTTTTCATAGCCGGGATCGCTGGTCCTCCTGGGAGAATTTTTCAAAGTCTCGTAGTTGTGGTCCTTAATTCGCCTCTCCTGAATTTTACTCTCGAGCGACGATCTTAAGTTAACGTTATTTGTGGCGGCCTCGGGTGAAACGCTTCGTATTTCTACCTTCTCGGCAGTCGTCGCATCTTCTTTTTTATTTTTGTGTACTTTGGCATAAAGATCGTCGATGTTTCTAACGGCTTGCAATTTGTCCGCGTGGAAATCGAAATTCGATACTGTCGGTGGCGGCGGAAGGGGAGAATTCGCTTGGCGCTTTTCCGGTTTCGGAGAACCCAAGTTCGCTATGGAACTCGAAGAAGATGCTAAAAAATATAATTTTTGTCAGTTTTCACAATAGGTTATGCCGTCTAACAAAAAAGAAAACTGACCAACATGACTAAGTTTTCATTTTCACTCTTCTTTAATCAATTCAGAATTACAGTACTATTTATTATCAATTAATAATAAAAATTACGTGTGTATTTTCGATCAATCAATGAGAAAAATCAGTATATTTGAAATATTAATAACTGATCATAAATTAAACAACAAATAAATAAAAACGCATTTAAGGCTGTTTTCGCGGTTCACTATTTTAGCATTGTCCATGTATCTTAATTATTTATCATCAATATAATTTCATTTTTTGCTGAAGTATTCAAAAGAAACACCCTAATAGTCTCCAGTCTTTTAATTTTTATGCTACACCCTAGTTTTTTAAATAAAAAATAAAAATTAATATTAAATTTTATCAATTTGTAGATATAAATTTTTGGAAAACTGGAGTTTGTAGCTGATTTTTTTTCTATTTTTTTTTTCTATTTACAAGTTTTTGCTAAAATCAAAAACTAATTGAGTTTTGTGGTAAACCGTTTTCCAATAATATTTTTATTTCGAACTCCTGAAAATATTTCTTTCTTTATCACATACCTGGAAAGAACGGTGGCTTGGATTAGCAAATATTAACTGATTCTGCCAGGGTCTAACTCACTCTTTTAATTATAAAAATTTAGTATATTTGTTATTATTATTTACGTGTTACGTAACTAATTATGAAAGATAAGTCGTGCAGTTACTAGCAAAAGGTTTGACTATTTTTCTTATACATTTTACTAAAGAAAAATAAATATAATTTGATTGATATGCGAATATGATTTTTTTTGATTAATTTCCAAATTATATCAGAATTCATGAATATTCGTGTCGAAAGCAAAGAACAATTTTCCAAATATTCCTAAGAATAGATTATATTAATTTTTAATTTATTGGAAATATTATAAAAGTAACCATTATTATTTTCCTAATTTCAAATCCTAATGTACTAACACCCCACAATGCTTTTCGACAATACTCAGCTCATAATGAGTTGGTAAGTAAAAGCTTGACTGGAATAATTGCAATTAGCAAAAGCTATTGGAGAAGTAGATGAACAAGGAAATGGTCTAATTGCAGTGACTGCTGAAGGTGCATGGTCTAATTGCGGTGACTGCTGAGGGTGCATGGTCTAAGCGATCATTTAAAGTTAATTATAACACTTTATCTGGAGTTGTTAGTTTATATTTAAATATTATAATGTGTGATCCAAAAACAATGTTTCTAAAGTAAGCCATGACCGACAGAATTGTGAAGAATCAGTCATGCATGATTTTTCCATGGTCCACTTTAGAAAAATTTTCATATTTGACATAACATATAAAGGGTTTATTTTTTAATGCACTTATTTTTTACAGGCTTGCACTATTGGGGCGAAAATTGGAAAAGTTTTATATGTTTCTTCTAAAAGTAAGTATTGTTTTATCTGTGCTCGAGCTTTAATTAAAAACATAAAAGCTGCAACTCATAAATGTTCAAAAAATTGAGATGGTTCGTCAACTTCTATGGAATTGGAACTAATTTTAGAAGGATTCCGTAATAGTATAAAACTGCACAAATTAAAATATGTAAAAAAATTTGCTTTGAGAGACCCTACGGAAGAACAATGGTCCGCAAAGTAGAATGCATAAACCATCTTCCGAAAAAAAAAAAAAAATAAAGTTCAAAAAACAAAATAGTAAGTACACGGCTAAAAAAAGTTTTGAGTGATAGAATTTTGAAGTTACGAGTGGAAATTAAACTGTTCACAATATTTTTGTAAAAGAGAACAAAACGATAGAGATTATGCGACAGAAATTGAAGAATGCGGACTAATGGATGACATTGTATCTGCTGGTAATAGCCTGGTTCAAAACAGCCATAGTTTATTATTAAACATGACTAATAATGCTGCAGAAACATATAATTCAATCGTAGCCAAATTTGTTGGAGGAAAGAGAATTAATTTTGCAGTAAAAGGAGGGTATAATGTTCGTTGTACAGCTGCAGGCATTTCTTTTAATAAAAAAGAGAACTATATTCCCACTCTTTATTAAAAGCTGTCAAAGAGTGTTCCTGGGATTCACATACAAAGATTGGGTATTCAAATGAGCAAACGTAGATGTGGTAGAAAAGACAGGGGCCCTCAATTAAAAAAACGCAAAACTGGCGCACCTAGAGATAGGGACTACGGACTTCAATGCGACGATGATGATGATGACGACGATGTTTTGGAACAAAAAAAAACTGTAATTTTTAGATAGTTTACCAAAATCGATAGTTGATATTTGTAAAATTGAAGTATCTACTAGAGGCCAGTAATAATCTGTGGAAAGAACATCGTAGTAATATGCTCACGACTTCAAATTTTGGAACTGTTTGTAAATTACGCAAAACAACAGATCCAAAAAAGACTGTTATCTTTTTACGGATCAGTCGCTACAAAATGGGGACAAGATCATGAATTTATTGCGCTAGAAGAATTTAAAAATAAATATGGAAAAACGGTACAAGAATGTGGATTATTTATTTATGAAAAACATCCATACTTGGGAGCAAGTCCAAACGGCATTATTAATAATAATGAAATAATTGAAATTAAATGCCCATATTCTTGTTCCAAATTGACACCAGAAATGGGAATTCAAGAAAAAAAAATTAAAATATCCAATACAGATGGCCAAATTAAATTAAAAAAAAAGAAAAAAAGATAATTATTATTATCAGGTACAAGGGCAATTGGCTATAACGAAAGCCAAATATTGTTATTTTATAGTTTGGACCCCACTAGGAATGTTCGTTGAGAAAATTGAGAGAGATGACAATTTTTGGTTATGTGCTGAACCAAAGTTAGTTGATTTTTATTTAATATATTAAATAAAAAAAATTGTAAGAAGAAATTGATATAATTTTTTTTGTGATTGTATTTTATTATGTGAAATAAAATGTTTCATTAAAAATAGTAGGTAATTAATTTTTTTTTTTTTATTTAAGTATTTATTTTTACCTCTTTTTACTTTCAGCGAACGAAGAAAAGATAAAACCAATACATTATATACAATAAAATATACGATAAAATAGTTTTCAAAAAATGTTTCGTCTACACTGCAAATTAATTGTGAGATTGATGCAATTTTGTTTAAAAAACAAATATTTTATAGTATGTACCACTGTACCTATATTAAAGCACTTTCTAAAAATCAGTTTCTTATTTTAAATATACCATAAATAAAGCCTTGTAAAGCTTTTGCGCGGATACGAGTTTATATTATCGAATATAAGTTATAACAACAATGTTTATTTACAAATAATACGATCAATAATTATATGTATAAAAATCCTTTACTATTTCACCTTAGAATATAAATAAAATCAATTTAAATGTAGTTAATCATTTATTTAAAAAATAATTCCACTAGATGAAGAAAGAAAACTTTCGAATCCGTCGTCGAAGTAATAAATAAAAATATTATCTGCAAAGAAATTACTATCAACACAATAGTTACATATACTGACAAATTGGGCCAACCCGCGTTTCAGGTGAAGAGAAAGGTAGGCGTCCTATTAGACTGAACGGAGAAAGATAGAATTATTGCACGTACAATTGTCTTTACATAAACAAAGAGAGGGTTGCGTACAGAGATATTCTATGAAATGGATGAGGTACCTCTCAACTTTGACCGAACGGAAAGCGGTAGAACTTAACTCAGAAATAAGGTCCCAAAAAAAGGTAAAATAACATTCAGTCGAAGAAAGCTAAGTCACGCAAACTAATAATAGAGAGTTAAAGCAACACCAGATACGTATGCGTATCTCTCTGACGTAAACGTGGAAATTGACGATACGTTAAACGAGCAATTTGGAAGAAAACAATAGTTAAAGCAAAAGCACTGACGTAAACGTATCTACAACTTTATAACCTTAGGTAATTTTTGAGAAAAGTAGATAGTTATATTGAGTAGATTATGAATTTAACGGCTTTAAATGATGGAAGATTTAGATGATGCTGTATATATTACAAATTCAACATAAAGAAAATTTGGATAATAGTGATGTTTTATATGGGAGATTCAATTTTAATAATCCGACATAATTAGGCTTGCTAGAGCTCTTGGCATGCCAGATATAATTATAACAAATGATCGAGTATCAATGTCCGGTAATTTTTATTAATTCTTTTTTTTTTTTTTTCAATGAACTTTCTAGGAATAAATGTGATGTGTATTATGGCTCAAAATTTAAAAACAACAATATAAAGTTACAATCTGTCATTAGTTTTATTAAATCGGATGCGATCGGATGCTCCCGAAGCATTTGCTCGGCTCGATACGAATGCGTATTAAGGCTAGTTCATGTAGTTGCGAATCGCGAATTGCGAATCGCGAATTGCGAATCGCGAAGGTCGCTGCCATTGGTCAATATCACAATAATGACAAGATGGAAATTTTGACAGCTCGAAAGTTGAATTTCTTGCGAATTCGCATTATTCAAAATCTGGGGGGCGGGAATCTTGAAATCGTTTTAATATTTTGCGAATATCGCACAAATTTTATGTGAGCGCAAGCGTAGTAGCGCCTACTAGAGTTTGTTCGTTTGTTGTGGATTATGATATAGGTTATATTTGTATTATATTTGCGGTATTTGTATGCGGTATGTTCATGATATTCTTCTTTGTTTTTTTTTTTAGTGTGATTTAGCCGAATATATGCTAAATTGTGATATTTTGCTCTTTGTTGTTTCCACAATATATCCCCTATAGTAATGTTACTGGGATTCAAGAAATGGCTTTGAGTTACGCTGCGGCCAGACACAGGTCTCATGGCGCTAGTATCGTTTTGAATTTTGACACGTCCAACATCGGCACGTTCATTGGTTGAAGAGGAACTTTTTGACAAGCGAAGTATGAAGTGTCAGTGTTGACAAGTGATAATTTTTTGATTTTTTCTTCTACGAAATTTAATATTAATTTTGTTTCAGCGATATTTATTGTGATTTGTGTTGTTGTATTAAGTGCTTTCTTATTTAATATGGGAAACAAAACGTACAACAAACTCAGAAAAAGAGGAATCAAGGAGGGATTGCTATGGTTGTCATCCAAGGGTCTCCGCCCTAGATAATACTTTTCCAGTGGGAAAAGCCTTTAAAATTCAAGTATAACAATTTTATGTTTCCGTTTCCCTTCTTTTAATGTAGGTGCCAATTTTGAGGTAAGTTTGTAATAATTTTTCATATTTTTTCAGTTAATACCTACCCTCTTAATATTATAATTTAACTATGATCTTATGCTTTCCTATGGACACGATTCAAGGAGGGAGTCCTATGGCTGTCATCCAAGCCCTAGATAATAGTTTTCCAGTGGCAACAGCCTTTAAAATTCAAGTATAATAATTTACTGTTTTTCTCCTTTTTTCGAAGTAGATGTCCATTTAAACTAAATTTTTTTATTTCACTTATTGATTTTAGCATTTATATACAGTATACCAATACGCTTGGCTAGTATGGAAAAGAAAACTAAAGAGTTAGTGCATTAATTCGATCAGGAAACGAATAATATGAATGTTGCCTTGTGTGCTGTGTAATATGAACAGGCAAACGGTGTGATGCATCCCCACGTAGCCGGCTGGCTACGTTCATAGTATTCTATTCCTTCTCCCACTAATGCTAACTCTTTGTAGTTTTTACTTGGACATTAGCAAAACGTATTGTACAACATTCGATAGCTGTCACTGTATTATCACAAACATCTCTTAATAACTAAATGATTTCATTTAATAGTTTCGTTTTTTTTTTTTCAGTAAAATGGATATGGATAGAGTTATCCTCGACTTTAAAATAAATTAAATAAGTTTTATAATTTTTCAAATAAAATACTTTATACCTACAATTTTTTGTTTTTTTTTACCAGAGCCAATTTTTTTTCAGATCTAACCTCTATAGGTAAAAAATAAGTGATTCAGGTAAAATTGAAAAGTATATTACATGTTCTTTTAAATGTGTTGTTAATCCAAATGCTGCTCTTATTGTAATAGCTAATAATAAAAGAATTAGTATTATTTTTAGCTATCAAAATAAGAATAGCGCTTGGATTTACAGCTCGTTTAATCGAACATGCAATATACTTCTCAATTATTGCCGAACGAATATATTTAAAAATTCCCGCCATTTCGCTGCTGGAAATTTACGATTTTGGCGGGAAATTTAAATTTCGCCTTAAAATTATATTTGAATTTACCGCCATATCGAGTTAGTTGAGCGGCCAGACGCATACGCATTTTTGCGCTGCAAACTTAGTGCCAACTCTTTAACAAGTGAGATGCACTACTATTCGCGATTCAAGCTAAGTGGAGGAAATTAGTAAAAGGTCCCTATAAGTAGGATGACGTTCAGTGTGGCCAGAAGCAGCAAAATTTCGTTACGTCGTCGGATTTTAGTTTTTGAAGAAATGGATAAGACCTTTTATTTAAGAATCAAAATTTGTGTCTAGTAATATGTAATCATACTATTTATTTAAGGATTTTTTTATAAAATCGATTTATTATATTGATTTTTGTTTAAATATCAGTTCCTCAGTTCATTTATTAATTTTAGTTTTAAAATCAGTCAGAGACAAAATCAGTTCATCATTTGGCAACATTGGCGTTCGTGTTCATTGTTTACATTTTAATTTGTATCAATTACAATTAGAATTTTTGTTACTTTTTAGCTTTAAATTTGTTTATTTCTTATAGTATGTGATAGTATTTAAATTAAAAATGAAATCTGCGAAAAAGCCTCCAGCAAATTGCAATCTGTATGGTGTTATTGTCAAAATCAAAACTGGAGTATTCATTATTTTTCAAGTGCAAGTCATAAAATTCTGTTTCTTACGATAAATGGGTATCTACAAATTCACAATATTGAAATTTTGCAAAACGTTGTTTAGAATCAAACTCCAATATGAGTTGTGACGGTTTTATTACCATTTACATGTATACAAAGTACTACACAATTCACTTCATGATATAAGAATAAGGATAGTAAGATTTTTAAAGAAGTTCATCAATAATAAACACGTTTGGTACCTGATATGTCCGTTAAACCACATAATAAAACATGTCCTGGGTTTAGTAAATACATATTTCTAGATGTTCTTGTAGCAACCAATAGGTCAATATTTCCAACAAATTAGTTGGTACTACACATGAAAAATTACATTTATAACGAAAGCACGAAAACTAAACTTAAATTAACACTAAATGAAACTCAAAAACACTATTATAATAAGAATATTATCTAAAAACAGTTAAAAAATCACAAATACAAAATCCCACAACACGTAAATAAACAAACATCCTACTTATACGTGACAAATGACAGGCGCGCGAAAATTAATTTGAATCGCGAATAGGGGATATATTGTGCTCTGTGCGATCCGTCGAGTTCCAAACCGAACTTACCCATTGTGTAGTTAAAAGGAACGACGCGAGACAAATATATCAAAAGCATGAGGCAATAAAGGACAGCACAAAGCTGGTCTTGTCATATTATCGATTTAAAAATAGGTACCTCTGAACAATCATTCGCCTACAAAGCCATATCCATTCGCCATTTATATATTTTTGAACATATAATCAACCTCTGTTATAAAACCATTTACATTATAATTGCCTTTAGAATATTTTTTTTTATATATTTTTGGTAATTTTTTTAATTCCTTTTTTTTTATTTTTTATTACTCTTTTTTTATTAGTTTTCTTGTTCCTTTTTTTTTTCCTATTTTAGGGATTTGAATTGGGACACTATACGCCATGGGGCGATTTCGCACAAACACAGAAGGACCTCGGTCAGAGTGGGACTTTAACAAAGGGTAGTGAGATATGAACAGAAAGTTTTTACATAACATTATAGCTACAATTTGTAGAGGTTGTCAAAAATTTTCAATTCTCTTTCTTTCCCAATTAATTTTAAGGAATTCATAGAAAATCTCTTCTTTGACAATTAAATTTTTCAAATATTTCTTAATCGTAATTCTGCTTAGATCTGAAAAATACCCAATACAATTTGGAAATATTTTACATAGAAAAATAGCAGAATTTAAACGTTATCAGAAATGATGAACCTTTGCTACTTATAGTAAAAATACAGTTAAACAGCGGTCTTAATACATGACAAAAACTGGTGTACTTCTTTAGGGCGCTGATCATGAATTTGAAAAATTACAACTAGACAGTTTCAACTAAATTGTTCAGCGATCGGTATGACCATACCAGTCAACTTAACCGTTGATTAAACACAGCCTAAGTGCCCTATTAAATAAAGTAATTACAACTAAGCTTCAAATTGACAAACCTTGGCCCCCTGAATTGCACTATGTTCCCCAATAAGGCAAGGGACAGAGAATTCTTAGTTTTCAGTTTGAATCTACGACTGTAACTTAAAAGTTTGTATACATTTCTATTTTAATGGTGTTTTGAATTTTTTTTATCGAAAATGAATACTGTGTTTTCAAAAGCAGATTAAACTAAATTTTACGAGTTGATGTTATCAAGGTGATGAAGTTTTATGCAACTAACAAACCAAAGTAAAATATTTAAAAACTCAACAAGTAACAATTTGTAATTATTCTATTGGCTGCTTACGAGTGTGAATAATAAACAATAATATTTTAATACCAATTTGAATTTAAACAGACGAATAAAGATTTTCTTAGATTGTTTTCATAAATATAATTTAAAAATTTCGATACATTGTTATAACTAATTATGCAAGACTTACCTTGCCTCGAATGTGAATATTTCGTTTGATTTTGGGTCGCCTGCGTCTTTACTTGTTTCAAACTATCGACTGGAGGCGGTGGAGGAGGTTGTGGCGGGGGTTCGTAAAACTCATCGACTATATTAATTGGTTGTTGGATTTGTAAATGGGCTGGAGGCGGTGGATTCACTTCTACTTCGACCGTGATCGGTAAGGGTGGTATTCTAGCATAAGTTTCACTCTCACTTGTGTAGATGGGGTTGTTTGGGTCTGGTATAGTTGTGTAAACATCGTCTAAAAGTATTATTATAAGTGAGAGAGTTTTAATTGAGATTCATTTAAAGTTGGTAGTTTATGTTTATAATTGTAACGAACCTGAATCGTCAGATACCGTTGAGTAATGTGGATCTGTAAAATCACGTTTTGACTTTTTCATCTCGTTGGTTTGCGCGATAATGTTTGCCAAAGGTTCTCTTACACTGATGCTAGTGTAACCCTCTAAAACAAAAATAAAAATGATAAATATATCGCAGTAGAATAGGTCTCTACTTTGCAGCCATTTGCTATGTGAAATCACTGCTTAATAAAACAGGTAACTATTATACTATTTCAATAAAAGATTGACTTACTTGAAGAATCTTGTGAATCCCCGCTAAAATTAGCTTGTGTTACCGGAGGCGTCATGTATGGTAATTCAGGGCTAGCAGCGACGACTCCGGCAACCGCAGATGCAGCTGGTATATCTAAACCTCCGGTACTGTGTAAAGACGACCTTCTCGATCTCGTGGGAGTAACAGGTTCATCTATAGTACTCATATCCGACCTTAAATACATGATGACAAAATAAAATGGTTAATTTTTACGTAAAAGATGGGTAGAGAAAATGCAATAATTATGAAACTCAAGAGGAAAATCCATAATGGAAAAACTAACAAAAGTAAGAAAAGCCTGGAAAAATTGGTTAGTCCATATTCACATGTTGTCAAATCTCTTCTCTAAAAAACATTGCACTAAATTTTCTTAAAAACTTTCAATTATATTTGCTATTAAAAAAAAAGGAATTGAAAGCATAAAAAATAGGAGTTTTTTTTTTTTTCATTCCAATTATTGGGGCGATATTGAAAATTCTGAATGTTGGTCATTCCTAAACCCTTTTTAGGCGATTGGCCATACAAACAGGGAATTTTTGTGTTTGCGCTTTTGTGCATATGTGTTTTACTGCGATCCCGATTGTTTAAATGCGAGATTCGTCATCAGATTCTAACAGAAGTCTATCAATTTTTGCTCCAGTTCATTTTATTGATATACTTTTAGAAAACTTGGTAGGATATTGTTATTTCACACGTTTTTGCCGTTACTGCACTTTATATAGGGAATAGGGCTTGATTTACTTAACATTGTAAAAATATTTTTTGAATAATAATGTTGTTTTGTCTTTTTCTGATCAGGCTTCCCAGATAAATTATTACTCATCGTAAAATTATGCGGCAAAATTTACGTCTGTATGTTATAATATGTAAGCTCTGAAATTGAACATAAATCTTGACGTTTTACAAAATTTTGGGACAGGCTTTTTTTAGTTTAATATTGACTGCTATAGGAGTTATCCTCCTTTTCAGGGTGGTTTGCCCTGATTACAAAAGTAACCTAGTTATGTTTCCTAAGTCTTGGCCTGTATGACCTGTATGGCAGGTTGTGTTCCCAAAATAATATTGCCAATTCTGCTATTTCCAATCTTATATATGGAGCATAGCATAAGGTGGGAAATATGATTTAGGGAAACCACGAAAACCTAAATCACGATACTGTATAATAATAAAAGATGGGTAGTTACATGATTGTGAGACTGAGTCCAGCAGTTTCTGGAGTTCAGCGGTAACTGTGAGGTCTTGGGAATCTGAGAGTAGTCTTAAGTTAGGTTATGGGAGTTTTCCTTTCGGTTTTTGAAATAGTGGAATGCGGCGTGGGCGCTAAGGGGTTTTTGTAAAGTGTTTTGGGCCTTTCACAGTGGGAGAGACGTAATGTTTCCTGTGGGTTTGCAAACGTGTGAGTATGGGGGTACTGAAGATGTTTTCGAAAACTTCTCTGCTGGGAGAGCGAATGGAAAGATATTGGCAACGTCGGAGTATACGTCTCTCGAATCCTGTGAATGTGTGGGCAAGATGTGTAGGAAGTACGCCGTACTACTCTGTACTCGGCAACGGGACGGGTAAAAGGATTGTAAGTGTGAATTAGTGTTTCGGTTGCATCGCCCAAATCGTCCACAAAAAGCCCCAAGGAGACTGGCTCGCTTTCGCATCTTGTCGAGAGAGCGTTGGACATCAGAGGACCAGTTGTGTACGAGAAAATCGGACTCCCAAATAGTCAACTTCCGTCTGTTGAGCGAGTACTCCCAAGAGATTTACATTGACGTGTTGGGGGATCTAGGTGACTCTTTTTGAGTTTGGATGTTTAAAGATAATAAATTGTGTTTTTTGTTGATAGAGTGAAATTCTCCTCTGCTACACCAGCGAGAATACTAGTTTGACAGACTTTCAGATCGAGTTCTTAGCTAGTCAGAATTTTTGGCTACAGAGATCAGAACAGTATCGTCGGCGTAGAAAAGGCTAGGTAGGATGTCGTGGGTGTATATGAGGTATAGGAGAGAGGTCAGGATGGAGCCCTGTAGTATCCCAGCAAGTGGGGCTAGTGGGTCTGACAGGGCGTTGCCTACTTTGACCGTGATTGTTTTGTCAGTGAGGTAAGAGTGAATGAGTTTGGAGATACTGGGGAGATACCTATGTTCATGAGCTTTTTGACTAGTCCAGCATGCCAGACTTGGTCAAAGGCTTTTTGAACATCTAGAAGAACGGCTGATGAGATTTGTTGGGAGTTTACTGCTGTGACCGTAGTAGTGTGAAGAGAAGAGATTGCGTCCTGTGTGGAGTGACGTTGGGATTGAGGCATTATGTTTCGTTCTTCACAAAAGTCCCAGTATTCTTTCGTTGAGCACAAGTTCAAGGACTTTACCTAGTACAGATCTGAGAGAGAGATGACAGTATAATTAAGGATTTGGGGTTCTTGTCTGGTTTGGGAATCAAAATGGTGTTAGCGGATTTTCAGGCAAGTGGAAAGTAGGAGAAGAAGAGACAGGCGTTTAGGAGATAGGTTGAGGTTGGGAAACATGGTTTCGGGAAGGCGTTTCAGCGTTCTTCTGTGCATGGAATCGGGCCCAGAGGCCGTGTTTTTGCCTGCTTAGCAGGCATATTTTAAGTCTTGGAGGGTGAATGGGGGTGTGAGGGGATTTTCGACATCCAAAGATGGGACTGGAGCGGCAAGTGTCTGAAGGACGTTGTGTTCAGTCTTGTGTCGGAATTGGTCGTCAAAGTAGGGGTTGTCGGGGTTTCTGAAGGTGGCTTCGAAGTGTGTTTTGTGAGCTAGAGCTTTTTCGTCGGGGGTTGTGTTGGTTACACCGTTGATTTCGATGTGGGAGTGAGTTTTGGATTTTTGATCAGTGATAAGTCGAAATTTGTCCCAAAACTTGGAACCATCTCTATGATCCAAATTAAAGGTGATATTGATCCATTGTTGTTGTTTGTGTAAGTTAGTTTGGAGCCTGATCAGGGCATTGAGACGGTTCCATTCGGTTTTGATGACAGGATCGTGGGTACAGACATATTGTCTATACAATCGGCGTTTTTGGAGAATGAGATTTAAAATGAATTGGGAGAGGGTTTTTTGTGATGTGTTGATGGAAGTAATTGGAACTGAAGTTTAGATAAACAGTTGTTGCTCTGGAATATTTGCAGAGATAATTCTCTGAAATAGTGGACAATCTGCTTTTCTGATATACCGGAAAGTGTATATTATATCACTTGGTGGAGCAGGGAAAAAGAGAGATGTATACAACATCAATTGAAGATAATCGGTAGTAATTCTCTCCAATGAAGAATCTATCAGCAATAAATTATCCTAGTCGAGATACAAAGGTCGGAAGTCGATTTGAGGCACTGAATATGGGGTAGTCGATAGGCATATTAGCTAGGCGGATGCTGTTTGTATTTGAGTAATGATCTTCGAATATGGTATGTCTGGAGATCAGATCTCCAAGCAAAACAGCATGAGGAAGTGATGATAGATAGTCTATCAGTGGGGTGGAGATGATTTGGCCTGGGTGGTTGTAATATGAGGATTGTGTATTGGAAGGTATGTTGCTATTATATCGAGGTTGGAAGAGGTAGTTAAAGAGACACAAGAACTGTTCTACTACAACTTTTTTAAATTGCAATAACTTGATTTTTCGGATAATGATGGTATTTGTCGAATAATTTCCATTTGTTTTATGGATTTTGTAACCTTATTTTTATTGTCGTAAACTAAAAATGGCTTTATTTTAAAAAGTGTGGCTTGTCACCTTTTTACAATAAGTTCTTCAATTGTGAATGTTACATAAACTGTTGGATTATTTTTCATGTAAATTTATTTAAGAAGATCACTGATAAAGTTAATGCTGGATTAAATATAAATGTTTTTGATATCAAAATCTTTTATGTACTTTTAATTTTCTTTGTATTGCTTCATATTTTTATTTACTCTTCATGTATATTTTACCAATGAGACAAGAATGACAAAATCGTAATTCAGCCCTTTAAAATACTAACAAAAATGTTCTTCCAATTTGAGTTTTTATTTTAATAATTTTAATCTATAAGAAAATATACATAACCTAGTTTATGGAGACTGGACTAGACAAGGTACTCTAAACAACGATTAAAGGATATCCACAATAGGTCTGAAAAGGTCGAGATGGGGAATGCCACATGGTCCACAATCCTAATGAAATTTAATCTAATCTACTATTTAAATCTATAAGAAAATCGGCTTTTTAAATTGAAAATTGTTCCTTTAAATGCACTTTTGATTTAGAAGATCTAGTGAACGTGTATAAGTCATCAAGATTTTAAAATTAAACAGTTTTTATAAAATAAATGAACCCTCCTGAAACAGTACATCATTGTGTGTTGTACCCTGCCCCTGCATAAGCTATTAGCGATTCAAACTAAGCGATACGCCCTCTGTAGAACATTTTTAAAAGGTGCCTATAAGTATACTGCCGTCCTAGAAAAACCCCCCTGTATCTCCCAAAATTGAAAAAAAAAATATTACCATATACATGTTTCTGGTAGTAGGTATAAAATACCATTTTACTAAAAAAAAAAATCGTATTTGCTTATTTTTCCTAAATTTATCACAGAAAATTATTTCCCCGTATATAGCTGTGCAGCTAAACAAAATATGTTAGACCGTTTTTTTCTAAATCGTGTTTTTTGGAGATTCGGGGGTCTTTCATAGGACGGCAGTATAAGTTTCAGTGTTGTCAGCAGTAGTGTAATTCCGCTACGTTAGCGGATTTTATGCCCTTGAAGAAGTGGAAAAGCTTTTTATAAGTAGTGAAATTTGCGCTTACCAATATGTAATCATATTCTGTATTTATTTAAGGATTTTTATAAAACTGATTTGATTATATTGATGATCATATATCAATTTTGTTAATAATCAGTTTACGAGTTGGCAGCATTAGCCTTGTTGTGTTGCCTGTTGTTAACGATAGTAATTTTTATAAATTCCAAATTTTCTTGTTTGTGAGCATTAAATCTGATTATTTCTTATAGTGTGTGATAACTGTGATAGTGTTTATTATTAAAAATGAAATTTGTGAAGAAGCATCTAGCAAATTGTACCTATATTGCTGTAATAAAAGTTGCACTTTAAAATCAAAACAGAGTTAATAATTAAGTTTATTTCATCATTACCAAAGAAGGGTAACCGTAAAGTATTTATTAATACTAAAATGGGCAATTATGAGAGAGTTGACATGCGAAAATTATATCCTAAAAATCGAATACAACTTTTTAGTGAGTGTGTTTGCATTTCATAGATGAAGATTTTTGTTCATTTGAAGGTAAGTTGTTTATATGAAGTGTTTTAATCTTGTTGAATTCATTATAATGATATAATACATCTAAAAACAGTTAAAAAATCACAAATACAAAAGCCCACAATGTAAATAAACAAATATCCTACTTATAGGTGACAAATGACAGGCGCGCGAAAATTAATTTGAATAGCGAATATTATTGATGATTTAAATTGTATCTCATTGCCAATGACAAATATAAAAATAGAGGTTATAGCTATTCAAAGACGTTTTATTTCGAGTTTATTATTTTTCTATTATTATTCAAGATTTGTATTCATTTTAATGTTAAAAATAATTTGGTTACATACATAGCTACCCTTAAAATACTTCTTAACGACCTATAAATTTATTAAGAACACTAAAAAATTAATAAGTATGTCAAATTCAATGACAGCATGGTTTGTTTCTGTTAAAAGTTAACTGTCAGTGGGACAAAAAATTGTATCTGCTGTAGTTATAAAGGAGAATCTAATAATAATACCTTAACAAATTTACTCTTTCCTCAGATGTACCGCCAATTTCTTCCAATAAAGTTGGTCTTGAAGAATTCGGCTGGACTTGAGCATACGGATGCTCTTTAGATGTAATTTTGTCATATTTGACGCGTTCATATGGTGAAAAATTCTCATCATTTTGACTAATTGAGCTGTGCTGCGAGATGCTCGGTCTTTGTTCTACTCCATTTGCTATAGTATGTCTTTTTGCTGAAACAATAGTTGTATTTCAATACTGCAGTTTCAGTCCACACCATTTTCATTATTGTTTTACATGATCTCATAAAATGTAAAAAAATGTAACGTTGCCACATTATTGCTGTTTTTCTTTTTAATTACATCGAGCAGAAATATATTGATATTATCTAAAATTGTATATAACTTGAGCAACCTTGTATTTTTTATAGTTGTATGATATCCAAATGATGCCCCTTTAAATATTTACCACCCTTTAGCATCTGTACTTTTCAAAATAATCAAACAAAACATTTTTTTAATAAAATAAGTCATTCATCAGATACAATTAAATTAGAAGACGAAATAAATATGTTTAGCCTTTTTAAATATTACTCTCATTTCACATATCTAAAAATAAACATAAATATGTAAATATCTTGAAAAATATTGATTCCAAAGATATAAAAACTATAAATAAGTATTTGACAATAAAAAAATAATTATAATTACCAATAAAGGTATAAAAGTCATTTAAAAAAACTGACTACAAAAAAATGAGTGATGTTTTCCCCTGACTACACCTTTCTAATAAAAAAGAATAATAGAAATAGGGCAATCTGGTAAAGTATTATTGATGAACATACATAAAAAAATATTCTGACGAATTGATAACCTTCTCCTTTTTTGAAGTCAGTTAAAATGAATTTTGATTATATGAAGCATTCATAATTATTGTAAAAGTGTTTGAAGTACCTGCATTTTGATATTGTCCCACAGTGGCATAATGTTCCGATGAATTATCTGTTGGATCCCAATTAATATTTGCTGCTTGATCAGATGGTATGTCTGGTAAACTCCTTCTTGAATTATTGATTATATTTCTAGAAATTCAATTATATAATTTAGAAATTACCAGTATAGAACCAATTACACTTTAAATACAAAGTAAATACATTCGAGAATAGGAAAAATTAATAAAACTGTGTCACAGAACCGTCGAGCGGCTGTTGTCCTTAGGAAAACAACTACTCCTTTTGCTAATACCACAACAATTGAATTATATGAAAAAAAATTACTCTAGCTTTGATTTTGCTTACTAAGGAAACGTTTTGTTTTTATGGCATTTGTTTCTCAATATTTTAAATATCATCTGACTTTCACACATAGTATGCATGTTTTCAATCTGTGAGCAGCTCCTTAGACTACAAAAAGTCTTTGATAACTTTCTTTATATTTTTACTTATTTAATGAAATTAAGAAATAGGGAGACAAATATTTCAAGTTTGACTATTATTTTTATTTTATTCATTTTGTATAACCAAACAGACAAAGGCCTTTATTACATTGAGTATGTAGTTTTTTAAGTTACAGATTAATTACAAATATTTCTGTTTAAACATTTTGAATATTCAACTACCTACTGATATAGTTTACTGCATAAATAAAATTGTAAAGATTTCATTTTCAAGGTTATCTAAAAAATGTATGTAACTTTTTGACTTCAGCATGAAATAATTATATTCGTTTGTACCTTTTACTTAAATTAGAAACATCATCATTTGTAACTCCATCAACCATACAAGTATCTGCAGAAGGTAAATGGTTGACATTTTCATCAGGGTTCTTCTGTGTTACCATTCCTTCAGGTCCATGCCAGTCTTCCCTTAAAATTAAACAAATTTAAAAGAATGAAAACTACTGGGTGTCTGGAAATCCATTCAAATAATTTCAGGAGTGATTCTACACAAGAAAACATTACAATTTTATCAAATGAGCCAGGGGCCAGAAATGCATAGTTTTCAAGATACAGTGTCAATTTTGTTGAAATTTGTCATTAGTTTGTAGTAATAAGGGGCTGATTTAGCCTCAATTGGATTAAAATTATGAAGTCTAATGCCACACTCTTTTTGTCAATAATATTCAGTAAGGGGCCCAGGAAGCTGCTTAGCCTAATTCTTTTAATCTAATTAAGGCTAAATTTACTCCTTAATACTACTAATAAGTTTTGACACACTCTATCTTAAAAACTATACATTTCCAGACCCAGATTCACATAAAAAAGTTTGTTTTCTTTTGTAAAATCCCTATGAAAATAATTCAAACCATATTTATCTCTTACATACTATTTTTAACAGAATAAACTAATGAAGTACTGCTGCTAAACAATTAATATGTATCTTATATACATAGACAAGTTAAGGATTATCTAACTAATCCATTCCCATTACTGTTGTAAGAGTGCAGAACTAAAAATAAACTAATTCCATCTGAAAATTGTATCAACTTAGTAATTATTATAGAAATAAAAGTGAACCTACTTTGGTGATTTCTTCCTCCAACAAATGCAAAATATGAGAGTCATAATAAAACAAACACTAACACACCAAGATAATATGAGAATCCACATATTAGGCACATCAACCTAGCTCATAGTTATTTAATGTTTGTAAAAATAGCCTTAAATTGAATCGGTATCAGCTACATTAATTTTAAAATGTGAGTACTGTTATGGAACAAATAGACCCATAACCACATAACTGTAAACGGGTACACTATCTTTCAAGTATTTGTTGTATAATAAACGATATACATATCAATCGTGAAATTAGTTTTTATTTTTTTACACTTGAACTTGTCGTCGAATGATTAGAACTTTATTTGTGAACCTATCAATCACAAAGATTTTTATTTTTTCACATGTTCACACTCCCATTAATCTCATTACGAAAAATCAAATTGTAGATTAATAAAAGTTATTTCAACCATTTTCTGAGATAATTTAATAAAATCAAAAAGGTATATACACTATAATGTGAAGTTTAGTTCTCTGTTCTGTTGTGTTTATTTTTATTTTTCATACTTCTAAACAAAACCTTAAAAACAGGATGGAAATTGGTTGTGACTACTAATCCAATCAACCATTATATTGATATATATCCTCCATGATTTGAGTTTGTTATGAAAGGAAAGTAGTACACGTTATAAAAAATCTTAAATGTTAATCAAATAATTTATTGAACATGTATTATTTCTGTAACAATTGTATTTATTTATGAACATAATTATTAACATTTCCAGTACAATTTTGAAAATGTCTAAAACATGGAAGAAGGATTAAAAAAACATTCTTTTGGACAATTAAGCATTTCAAATAAAATGATTGCTCGTGGATAATGACAGGTTATGATGTGGCAACCCTGTGAACCTCGTGATTTATCATCTTTGGATTTATCAGAGTCAATGATATAGATAGTTATATAGATTGATTATCCATGTTTTTATAATAAACATAATAGGTCTTTTCCTTTGCATCGAAAGTGTAGCACTGAGCTACACCACTTCTGAAAATATCGTTCCATTAAGGGTCGATTCCACCGTTGTGTTAAACGGAGATTAAAATAACATTGTTAATGTAAAAATGTAATTTTAAACTTCGTTTAACACAACGGTGGAATCGGTCCTTATACAAATTGTATGGATGGAACGATATTTTCAGAAGTGACGTAGCTCAGTGCTACACTGTGGATGCAAAGGAAAAGACCTAATGGGGTGTATTCAAAAATATTTAAAGGCGATTTTAAATCAGTTACTAGAAATGTGACCAAGTCAAGTGTGGTCAAGGTTCTTACGTCATTATAATGACGTTCTAATAATCTGATTTAAAAATGTTTGGTTTATATTGACACTAACTTCACAATGGGTACAACATTGGCAGATATCATGAATTTTTATTTGTGTGTTATGTAATAGTAGTAGGATTTGTTTTTGAATTTGTAGGGATAAAAAATAAATATTTGTTTTGTTTACTGATCATGGATGAAGAGAAAATTGGTATTATAGTTACTTTGGCCTCTGAAATTTTATCAAAACTTTAACCATGTTCATTAATAAATCCTTCCTTGAAAATAAATTGGCTTTTCATTTGCAGAAACCTTAAATGCGTCCATATCTAGGTACTCAGCCAGGGTTGCCAGACGTCGCGCTTTAGGCGTAATTGTCCCGCTTTTTAACTTGCTGGCACGCGTTACGCCAAAGTACAAAAATGCTCCACATTTCACCTTATTGCTACGTTTTTTAAATTTAAAGTTATATACAATGATATTTTTGACAATGTTTGACCTGTTTTTGAGAAGCTCAGAAAAAGGAATCTGATGGTTTAAATAAATATAAGCGGAGGACCTTTTTTTGGATCTCTACAAAAAAAGGAGCTTATTTTATAAAAATACCTGTTTTTTTAACCTGATACCCTATCGTCACCATTGTCCCACTTTTCCCTTTCGTAAATCTTTCTTTCTATTTTACAAATAACACAACCAAACAATGATTTAATAATTAAAAAGTAAAAGTTTTACATTTGTCATTTCATTTGATATTTCATACCTATGATGACCACGTTTTTACTGTAGTCATGTCAAACTTGACTATTTCAAGACAATATTCAATATGACATCATTGTTTTTGATTTATATCAGTGTAGTCAATCATATTCAAGACATAGTATCTGATTTAAAATCGCCTTAAGACATCCGTTTAAATAATGACAGAAGTGAATTAGGACCGATTCCACCGTTGTGTTAAACGAAGTTTAAAATGACATTTTTACGTTAACAATGTCATTTTAATCTCTGTTTAACACAACGGTGGAATCGGCCCTAATAAAACTACATTTCACAGCGATATGCATACTAGATTTAGGGGACATGAATATCTCATCTTCTCACCATCGCACCTCTAAGCTTCAGGCATCGTTTTCTTATATGGTCTTTAAACTTTACAACCAGGTTCCCTAAAGCATCTCACACTAGGTATATTTAGGGAAAAATATACAAAATTACTTAGGACCGATTCCACCGTTGTATTAAACGAAGTTTAAAATGACATTTTTACATTAACAATAGGTCTTTTCCTTTGCATCGAAAGTGTAGCATTGAGCTACACCACTTCTGAAAATATCGTTCCATTTATACAAATTGTATGGATAGAACAATATTTTCAGAAGTGACGTAGCTCAGTGCTACACTGTCGATGCAAAGGAAAAAACCTAATGTCATTTTATATCTCCGTTTAACACAACGGTGGAATCGGCCCTTAAGGCTGTATGTCACGATACTAAATTAAGTACTAAATTTAGCACTAAATTAAGTCATTAATTTAGTACTAAATTTAGAACTAAAAATATTTTTTTTCCGTTTGCAACGATACCAATTTTTAGTACTAAATTTACTATGGGCGCACGCGCATTGACGTATTAATACGTGAAATTAGTAGAGAAATGAAATATTCTGTGTAAAACAGACAAGTGAAGTAAATGGTGTTTTTATTATCAATTTGATACTAGTTGACTTGACAACCAAATACAGCATAAAAACCACGGAAAAACACAATAAAACCTACAAAATCAAACAGGCGAACTTTATTCAAGGCGATAATGTGAAATTGTCGCTAATTAAAAATAAAAGGGTACAGAAAATACCGTCGTGTCAACTTTTTCTATGAAAAACTTCTGCGCAACATTTCGGCGCACTTTTAGTACTAAATTTAGTAGAAAATAGAACAAGATCTAATTAATTAATGACTTTTTTTAGTACTAAATTTAGTACTAAATTTGCTGTTTGCAACGTGAATTTTTTTAGTACTTAAAAAATGCATTAATTTAGTTCTAAATTTAGTACTTAATTCAGTATCGTGACATACAGCCTTTAGGTACGGGTATTTGACAATATTTAATTATGTTTAGTTATGTATAATTGTGTTTAATTAAAGTTAATTATATTTAATTAAATGTAGTATACAATGCGATACCTATTAATTAATAAAAATAATTTAAGGGATAGCACTTTGTATCCGCTATGCTGTCTCTTTTTTGTAGCATAACTGTATTTTAATGTATAATATGTATTTTTTTTTTATTTATCAATATCATTCTGCAAATAAACATTATTAATATTTGCACACACACGTCGACGATTGCACTTTCTGCGATCATTTTCCCTAGATGGTTCCTTTTCATGATGGTGTGTCGGATGTTCATTTATTGCTTATATTTGTCTCGCTTTTCGAAACATAATGTCTTTATGTTTAAATTTCAAATAACTACATAAAACAATTTATAAAATATTTCATTGATTATGAACAATGAACGATCTACGGCGATGCTAAAAGCTCACTTGGCAACACCGCTCGTGAAATTACTGAATTTAATTTAGACAAACGTCAAGTCAAACAAAACAAAAACAAGAAGTTGTGGTCAGTGTTTTTGTAATTATATATTTTCACAAACAAATTTCGGAATTGAAATGAATTTGTTTCTAGTAACGTGTAGTTTTATTAAAAAATAAAGTATATGAAAAAATACTCTACCTATTCTAATATAATTGAACAGAAAACATGAATACATCTGTAGTAGTAACTGGCGAGGCACCCGAGACTGATAGTGAGGAAGAAGGGGGCAACAATTTGGTAAATAACCGACCTAGAATTACGGGTTGTTTTACAAATTGGGTGATGTAAATAAGCATCAAGTAATTGACTTCTACTGGAAGTTAATTTTAGTTTTTAATAAGTTACTGCTACCACTATCTACAAAGCATTTTAGGTACTGGTTTCATCTTTCATTATGGATACAGCTCAATCCATTGCATACCTTGTCTAGATACATTTCAGTGGGATAGCTAATCCATTCATATAATCTTTTTTTTTTTTCACAAAATGAAGTAATGACAATGTAGAAGCAAAACGTCGCTAAACACATAGTTCGAATGAGTTTTTATCTAATTTGGAACAGCCTGGTAGGTATTTTTATAATTATTTTTTTTAGGTAAATGCTATGACAAAATCTGTCCAAGGAGCTGTAATTACTGGTGAAGATTCCGAATCAGACACTGGTAGGAATATTCAATGATTCCGTTTTGTTTAAAGCATTTTTAACAAAATAAAAAATTAATTTAGTCATTATGCTTTAAAATGTAAATTAATGTTTTTTTAGAGATTGAAGTTAGTGTCGCTAGTGCCACATCTGCATTGAACCATGAAGAATTATTGGATAGCAATAATATTAAGTATAACTCTTTATTTCATCAGAAACTAAGTAAGTTATTTAAGGGGGCGTCCATTAATTACGTGAGGTATTTTTGAGGATTTTTTGACTCCCCCTCCCCCCCCTGGCGAGATTTGGTAAGATTTTCCTTAACTACCTCCCCCCCTTCCCTAATCTCGCGTGAGATTTTTCAAAATTCGTGTTTTGGGTGTAAATATGTTGGATTATTAAAAAAAAACAAAATATGTTCCATTACTTTTATTTAAGACTAGCAAAGACTAGTGTTTGAGAGTGTTGCAATTATTTAAAATCACATTAATAAAATTAAATGATAAATACTTAAATGGAAATTAATAAAAAATAAATAAACAAATATAAATATAAGATTTTTCCATATTTTATTCTAGAAATACTTTTACTATAATTTAACTTTACTTTCACGCAATTTTACACCGTTTTCTACTAGAAAAAAAAATTACGTGAGATTTACGAAAACCCCCCCTCCCCCCCAAGTGAGATTTAGAAAGATTTAGTTTTATCCCCTCCCCCCCTTGAACACCTCACGTAATTAATGGGCTATTGCTCTAAACAATAAAGTTTCTAATTATTCATATTTATTCACTACAACATTCTGTTAGATTATGAAGACTAGAGATAAGGAGGCGAATTGGCATACTCAAAATACGAACCCAAAAACGCATGCTAATTGAGCTTTTATAATTAACTGCATGGGCGCTAGTACTGCATACAGTGTTCAAAATACATGGCTTATTATGGGAATTTTGTCAAAATAATAAAAATAAACTTGTTTGTAGCTAAATAAAGCACAGAACATACTGTTGTATTTATTTCTAAATAAGTCTTGCATGTTTTAATTGGTAAATTATTTAATTTTATCTTTATAAAATACAAATTTAGGTATGACCAAAGGCTTGTTAAATGCTGAAATTTGATAAGTACAATTCTGTGCAAAATTTTGTTGAATTGAATCTTTATATACAGGGTGTACCAATAAAAACTCACGGGCTAGATATTTTGTTAAGTAATCGAGATATTTTTATTCTGTAAAAGCCAGTTTACAGAGCACTAAGAGAGCTTTAGTTTTAGATATAAATTGATTTTAAATAGGTCAATATGTAGATGGCGCTGTGCTCAATAATTTTTTTTTTCGATGGATCTTTCTTGTGTTGCGCATCTTGTACAAAATGCATTTTTAAGCAGATTTTGTTTTATGAACTAAATTGATAGATTTAGCCATATTTGATATACAGAGTGGGTCACTCAAAACAGTTTCATCCTGTTTTTCAGCATTAATCGTTGAATTTTAAGAAAATGCTAAGAGGTCGATTTTTATTCCAAATTGAAAACATTTTTACAATACAGACATCTGTCATGTGTCAACTCCTTCCCTTAATTTTAAATAGGTAATGTACCATCACTGAAAAGGTAATTTAATGAGGATTCAGAAATATTTCTGTACATTGCGTTACTTAAATTTTATCGCCCTCTAGCAGGATAAAAAATTACTACGTATTATAGAGTGTGATACTACAATGTGTAGTATATTATTAAAAAGGTGGGGAATTTAAAAATATGAATGTTCATTGCGATACTTTTAATTGTACCGCCCTCTATCGGGACAAAAAAACTGTACGTATTATAAAGTGTGATACATTATTTGAAAGCAAATTTATTTACTAATTTAATGCACCACATAACATTAATATAAATATCCTCCATATTGCACTTGTAATAGTTTGAAAATTAGTGATGCATTATTTTAAACAATATTGCTAACTTTATTTTGTTGCAAGTGCAATATGGAAATAATTAATGTTATTGAATTGGTAATTAAATTAGTTTTCAAATGAAGTGTCACACTTTATAATACGTTACAGGTTTTTTTATCCCGATAGATGGCGCTAAAACTAAAAGTATCGCAATAAACAGTCATATTTCTGACTTCCCCATAAAATTACCTTTACAATGATGTGCTATATATGGTACATTCCTTATTTACAATTAAGGGGTTGGAGAAGTGGAGGGGAGGGGGCTGACACATGACAGATGTCTGTATTGTATAAATGTGTTCAATTTGGAATAAATATCGACCTGTTTTAGCATTTTCTAAAAATCTAATGTTTATTGCCAAAAAACAAGATGAAACGGTTTTGAGTGACCTACTCTGTATATCAAAACTGCTTAAAAATGCATTTTTACAAGATGTGCTATATAAGAAAGATCATCTCATCGAAAAAACAATATTGAGCGCAGTGCCATTTACATATTGACTTATTTAAAATTAATTTATATCTAAAACTGAAGCTCTCTTAGCGCTCTATGAACTGCCTTTTACCGAATTAAAATATCTCTATTACTTATCAAAATATCCGGTCTGTAAGTTTTTATTGGTACACCCTGTATAGTTATAAGCGCAAAATAAAACACAATTAACAGATTTTTTATTGTTGTAATACAAGTATAAAGTGAAATTTGAGAATGTACAATGGTATTACCTCGTCTTTTAATTTCAGCTTTAACCTTTTTATTTTGCTAACAGTACCATCAGTAAAAATAGTCTCATAATATTTGATAATATCTTCTAAAAGTATAGAACAGCATCATCTCTAGAAAGTGCTTTATCGACAGTAGGAAAGATATATGCTGCCACTGTAAAAAACATTTACAATTGGGGTTCAACAAAATAAATAACAGTAGCAACTCTTTATCTAACATTAAAACTCTATAAAAATAAATTTTCTTTTCTAGTAAGTTAAATTTAATGTATAATTATTGTTGTTTGTAAGTCAGGATCTATGACTAAAATTTTATATTATAGAAACTTGTAATAAAATAAACTACATTCCGTAAGAGACATATTATGACTAGTTTACAATAAATATTATATTTAGACGTAAATACATTATTTTACTTGCATTAGAAGCTTTAAAAAGATATTGAATTGATTTCTCCTTGTGTTTTTTTAGTTTTACGTTTGATTTGTATCCTGTTTTACAATGTGGAACGACGTATATCTTGCTTTAATGTTTTTTGTCACTCATGTTACTTGTGCTCAGGTACTTTTTTTCACATTATTTTGATTCCTTTCACCAATTTTTTAAAAATCACTCCATTTTACATTTATTTACATAGAAAATTGACACCGCTATTATTTGACATGCCAACTACAGTCAATTTCGCGAACTTTATAAAAAGAAGGACGGAAATTTGACCATTGCCGATTCGCCTCCTTCTCTCTAGTATTCATATGTTAGACTATTCAAACTACCTCTAACAATCTTGAATTTTAATTTTTTTTTAGGAGAGCACAATGAACAGCTAAATAATAGTGTAGACAACATTTGCCAGTCTACTGTAAATGAAGCCAATAAACATTTAAACGTGATTGAACAACAATTGCTGCGCTCTCAAATGACAATGCAAAATGCAGTTGCTTCACTTAAAACCTTAAGTATCAATTCATTATCAATTAAGAGTAAATTACATTCCTTATTATCTTCAAATTTCCTTGCAAACGTCGTTGTTCAAAAAGAATAAATAAACTATAATAGAAAAAAAAATTTTTTATTTGTAATGCGATAAGAACAAGTTAACCCTTTGAGTACTGCTAAGAGCGAGAATATAATTGTTATACAGACATTGTATTATAACAACACATGGTTTCCATTTGGAGATGTGCTGTGTTCCAGTCTCCAGTGGGACGCTTCAGCTAAATATTTTCACACATAAATAAATTGATGTAGCCATAATTTCATCTAGTAATCTCAAAACAATGCCACTGATTTATTCAACAGGTTGTCATAAAATTTGTTTTGCTAGATCATGTGGGATGTTGGGATTTGTTAAAGACCCTACCCAGACAACACACCAAATCCCAAAGATATCCAATATATCCACAGGATATCAGAAATATTCCGTGGATCTAATATGGATATCCAAATGTCCGTCTATATCCAGAATATAGAAGATATCCTATGGATATTAAGCAAAATATCTAATTAGTACCTTCCAAACAATACAAGAAATCCCAGAGATATCCACAGAATATATTTTGTGGATATCCAAATATGGATATCCAACCAAATGTCCGTCTATATCCCAGGATATAGAATTCAGATATTCAGCAAAATATTTTATAGGTATCTTTAGTACACATTCATAAGTAACCAAATGATTATTGAATAACGTCGAAAGAAAATAGAGATAAAAAATATTTCCAACAATCTGCCTTTGAGTTTGCCCACTAAGAAAAAAGTAATCCTTATTAGGACTCTTCAGCAATAAATGGAAATTCTCAACTCTAGTCTCTAATAGAGTCTTAATGCGAAATTTTTTTCGATCAACTCAATTATGGCGGGTTGAGCATGAGTAGATACGAAAGTGGTATCGCCATCTATACTTAGGAAGCAAAATCAAAAATTACATCTAGTAGATATCCACGTTGTATGAAGATAATTATATATATATATATATATATATATATATATATATATATATATATATATATTTCTTCATACAACGATATCCACGATGGTTTGCGTCCGCGCTAAGACTTTGATATATGTGGATGTCCATGGGATATTGAATACACCTTAAAATAGTATATTATGCAACGATCATGTAATGATGGTTATTAATACACGAGCATTAACCGGGATACGAAACGAGCCAAAGGCGAGTTTCGTATGGTTTATGCGAGTGTTTTAATAACCATTACATGAGAGTTGCATACGCTATTTTTTCTACACCCGATAAATAATCAAGACCTATAAATATTCTATTTATATTGGTATTGAACACAATAACAGTAATTACTCGTATTTCTATAAAAAATTCTACAAAATTGTAATTAATGGTATTACCTTGGGTACTGGTATTACCACAGATTTTTGGGGCAAAATATTTTGTACTGCATTTTCTCCTATATGTGTGGAGGAGTGTTCTATATCGCTGATATCAGACATTTTAATATTATAATTATCGAAGTTTAGCTATCTACGAAAATTTAATACGTTTTGACAACTAAAACAATTACATAGGAATTTAGGACAAACGTCAAACATCATGCTTGATTGAAAAATTGTAGGTTTCTATTGATTAAAAATCTGTATCATAATGAAAAATCTGTATCATAATGGGTATCATTATGAAACGGATTATGGGCATATAAGTGCATTATTATAATACGGGTGTAGAAAAAAATTAATTTTAAATATCTGAACGGTACTATTAGCCACAATGGCGAGCACGATGGCGTAATTTTTTAATAATTAATATAATTACTATTATTTATGGACATTTGCATGTCTATAAATTACATTTTATGGATGTAAAATAGATATCCACCATAGACTGGACATTCAGTGGATATTGGGATGTTCAGTAGATATCCAAAGGATTTGGTGTGCTGTCTGGGTAGATATAGAAAATAAAAAGATATATTAAAAATATATTTACAATATCACCAGAATTTAAATATTACATTCCTTTTTTAAACAGAAATAGTTCTATAGATTTTTTAAAATAAGGTTTACTAATTCAGATGCTCTTTAGTTAATTGCTGGACAATCAGGACCATGTCCGACGATTAGTGATGGATGATATTTTTATACCGGTGACTAGGACGGTCACTGTTACTATCGGCGATCTAATTCTCCGCAAAGCAGCCAATCTGGTCGCTATTAGTCACTTAGTAAGTAATCATAAATCAAAATATTGTAACGTTTGTTTAATTTATTTATAGTTTATTTAAAACACTTTATTTACAATTTATTTATAACGTACTAGTTCATTTATATAATGCTTAGGCACTATTATAACTCATAATTCTAATTTATTTATTACAATTTATCTTTTCTTCCAACACTTAAATTGACTCTTCTTGTCCGTCGACAAACTCGCGCTATTTATATAAAGCCAGCTCTGTACCAGAACACTCTCGGCTTTCCAGAAAGATCAATATAACTGCCTCGTTATGAACGGTTGACATAATGAAACAGCGACCTGAGTCACTGTTAAAAGAAACGGTGGCTAGTAAGTCACCGTCGCCAGTATACCGGTGACCTAAAAATCACTGGTAAGCTCATCACTACCGACGATTGAAGAGGACCAAACCATTTGATTTCGTGTAGTGTGTTGTGTATGTGTGAAAGCCTTAGATATAAGAGACCAGAGATGTAATATACTACGGTGTTTAAGCTGCGCGAATTTTGCTAATTTCCAAAGAAAGGTTAACGGAATGGAGGAACTGGGTGGAGACCTGAATTCTGTGACATGGACGGCTTTTGTTTATTACCATCATAATGAACTATTAAATTTACTAAAAAGGTGTTTAATTAACGTGATTTTCTAATATCAAACAAATGCAATATTTTATGTAAAGAGAATATAATAGTTCTTTTATAGAATATTTCATTAGCTTTTATTTTTTATAGACTACAATAAAATGTTGAAATAAAATATTGTTAATCGAGCAAGGAGTATTATAATAGGCAGCATGTGCGCAGGCGAATACTGCAAATCAAATCTTGTGAGTTGAACATTATATTGTTTTCTACAGCTATTACATAATATTAAAAGTTAGTCAAAATGAGAAAATATGCTGTTTTGATTGTTTTGAATAGTAACCTCAGAAAAAGGTATATTAAAGCTTCTTTCTTTGGGAATATTAATTAATATAGAGGATGTCACATAAATCTCCAGAAATTCATATTTCTGAAACCGGATATTTTAAAATTTAAACCTAATAAAAGTCATTTGGTCGCTAAAGGTGGGCGATTAAATAAATTATCAATCATTGAAAATAATCGATATAAATCAGTGTTTCCAAAAAATAATAAACGAATTATCGAATCTATTTTTTGTTCGTATTTCCTTTAAAATCGATTATTCGATTATCTTTGAAAATCAAAAATAAACGATTAATCAAAAATAATTTATTTAATAAAAATCGATTAAATTTTAAATCGTTTTTTCAAAAAAGAAATAACAGAATTATCGGTTATTTACAATCGCGGAAAAGAGCGTAGACTAGAAATATCGGAACAATTCGGATGGCGTCGTGGAAATAAGGATTTTTAATTGGTGGGTTACTTAAGGAGGGAATAGACAACATGCGCTATGTGCAATGTTACATCTTCGGTCTCTTTCATCTAAGGTGAAAGCAGAGCACAGTGCGCGAATGACTTGTATACTTATAGTAGCCAGAACAATCTAATGAAGATCGATGAATTGACTTTAGTTTAAGATTGTTTCAAAACAAAATTAATGGTTAGTTAGTCCACGTTACTAGTTTTAATGGCAGATACCAAGGTTCCAAATTAAAAAAACATATTTTTAAATATTTCTAGCATCTGGACTAAATAAATAAATTGTTTTTCTTAGGTTTCATTTTTCTGATACAATCTTTAGTTCAAGAGATATAATAGCAATTGCAAGTTTTTAAATTGTCACCCACTATTATATTTTGGTTTGTCAATCGTTAAATGTTACATTTTCGATTAATTTTTTTTTAAACAAATCCCATTTAAATGATTTTTACTCGTATGCTTTTTCGTTACTGTGAATTATTAAATGTTGATTTAACTCATAATTGCGTTTAATTTTTTTTAAACAAATCTCAGACTTTAATGGTTTTTATTATTGTGAATTATTATGTGTTTCTGTAAGTCAGATTTGCGCTTAAATTTTTTTAAACAAGTTTCACACTCAAAATGTTTTTCATTACTGTGAACTAAGAAATGTTTTGTTAAATTAGATTTTCGATTAAATTTTTTTAAACAAATATCACACTCGTATGCTTTTTCGTTACTGTGAATTGTTAAATGTTGATTTAACTCAGAATTACGTTTAAATTTTATTAAACAAATATCGCATTTGAAGGCCTTTCATTAGTGTGACTTATGAAATGTTTTCGTAAATTAGAAGACTGATAAAAACTTTTGGTACAAATATGACACTTGAATGGTTTTTCATTACCGTGAATAATCAAATGTTTCTGTAAATTGTCTTTACCCTTAATTTTTTTTAAACAAATTTCACACTCGAATTTTTTCTCGCTAGTATGGATTATTAAATGTCGCTGAAGGTAAGATTTCTGATTAATTTGTTTGGCACACATACTACACTACACATACTATGCTTTTTTATTACTGTGAATTCTTAAATGTTTACGAAAGTTACGTTCTCTAATTTTTTTACAACATATATCACACCTGATATTATTTTCAATGCTGTGAATTGTTAATAAATGTCGTTGTAAATTAGATTTCCAATTAAATTTTCTGTAACAAATGTGACACTCGTGAGATAAGTTTTTTCTAGTGACCACTCCAGTGTGCTTATTTTTTTTCTTTAACTTTCTATATTTCACTACATGTATAAAACTATGCCGAAAAAAAAACTGTTCATAAATTTTCCACAAAATATACAAACTGCGGAGCGTTTTGTAAAATGTCCTTCGATATGTTTCGATCTTGATTTATAAGTGAAATCTGTAAATGAAAAAAGAAACGTCAATTTAGAAAACGACAACAAATAAAAAG